CTACACTGACCAAGTCTCTCTCTCTCTCTCTCTCTCTCTCTCTCTCTCTCTCTCTCTCTCTCTCTCTCTCTCTTTTTGTTTTTGTTTGAATGGCTGGACGGAACTTGATCCGCAAAGTTTGTCTGACCTTTTGCTCATTTTTGGATTGCATCATTCGACGTTTCTTATGGATTGATTGATTGTTTGATTCTTCGGTTGATTGCCAGATGGGCACTCTTTTTTCGCAACCATTTGACCCCAATGGGGGTGCTGTTGTGCTGTTGAAATTTCGGAACTGTTCATTTATTGGCCGTCCAATCCATCAACCACTTTGTCGCTCTCTCAATCAATCATTCAATCGAACAAATTTGTTGGGCATGTCGATCCATCAACCACAGTGACTGTCGCTCGCTCAACCAATCAATCAATCACGAAATGAAATGAAATGAATAAAGTCCAATAAACCAATCAATCAATCAATCATGAAATTAAATGAAATGAAATCAATAAAGTTCAATAAACCAATCAATCGATCAATCAAACAAGCAAACAGTCAATCTTACCATCCGCCAATCAATCAAACCATCAATCAATCAATCAATCAATCAATCAATCGATCAATCAATTAATCAATCAATCAATCAATCAATCAATCAATCAATCGGCCCGTCAACCTATTGACTGATTAATCATTCGACTTCGTCCATCTTTCAATGAAGGGTTCTCTTCATTGATTGATTGAATGATTGATTGATTGAGTTTGATTGATTGAGTTTGATTGATTAATTGGTTCATTGGTTGATTGACTGGTTGACCGGTGGATTGTTTGATTGATTGGTTGATTGATTGGTTGATTGATTGGTTGATTGATTGATTGATTGATTGATGGTTTGATTGATCGAACGGTTGGTTTATGTGAATGGAGACTGGAGGAGGGAGGTCATTGAGGGGCAAGGAGTGACTGGAGAGTGGAGGAGGGAGAGCATTGAGGGTCAGGGAGTAAACCGGCTTCAACGAGTTTTGTTCTATTCGCTGTCTTTGTGTGATTGCAGGATGACTAAAAGCGGCAGCCAGGCCGTGAAGAAACACTTCAGGGGAGTGGGAATCAGTGGGCAAGCCGACAACGGAAACAAAAAGCGTGTATGCGTTTACTGCGACAAGCCCGTGGCTGGGACAGCCAGCAGGGCAAGGGATCATTTCCTCAAGGGGTCGAGATGCAACATCGAGCGCCTCAGAGGTACTATAAAGAGGAGTACTTGAGGAGGGAGAAGGGCAGGTCGGCTGCGAGGGCCGAGTTGGGAACCAACATGGGAGAGCCCGAAATGGAGGTGTCATCGGAGGATGAGAATGCTCCGCGGTCGTCGGGAGGACTTGTGGATCCATCGGGGTCTGCGGTAGGCCTCCGCCAGACGAATCCGCAGACGTCGGCGGCAGCAGTTGCGGATCCATCAGGGCCTGGAGTTGGCTCCGCCAGACAACGATCATGGACAGTGCTGTTGTCACCACGGCACACGAGCAAACGCAGCACGCGCTAATGAACGCGCCGAAAGGCTTCAGGTATGCGAAGTTCGAGAATGCAAGGACGAAGAGGGTTGAAGTGACAAGGGGCGGGGTCGGGAAGAGGGTGGAGGAGTTGCGACAGGAGTGGCTAACCACTGGCTGCATGTTGCAACTTGATGGTTGGACAGATCGCAGGCAGAGACCACACATCAACGTGATGGTCTCCTTCCCTAAAGGCTCCATCTTTTGGAGAAGTGTGTGTATGTCGGGGCGCAACAAGGGCGCCTGAGCATACTACGCCATGTTGAAGAGGGCAATAGAGGAGATAGGTGCGGAGGCAGTGGTGGGAGTCATTATGGACAATGCAGCTGTTTGCGCAGCTGCGGGGCGAATGATTGAAGCAGATTACCCTCACATCTTCTCTGTCCCGTGCACAGCACACTCCCTCGACTTGATGTTCGAGTCTTTCGCGAAGATCGGGTGGGTCGGTGCAAGCATGAAAAGGGCATCGGAGTTGGCAAAGTTCTTCACGAACCATTCGCGGGTGCGGGACCTCCTGACCCACTACTCCGGTGGCGGTGTCGTGGCAAAACCGGGTGCGACCCGATTTGCCACCAACTTCATCATGCTGTCCAGCCTGCAACAGTTGTACTTGCCGCTGCGTGCGTGTGTGACAGATGACGATTGGAAGCCAGCGATCGTGCACACTTCGCTGTGTGAGCAATTTGTGAAGGCGTCGCATTCCATCTTGGACGACACCTTCTGGCAGATGTCGAGAAGGTGATGCAGTCGTCCAAAGAACTGCTCAAACTGTTGAAGAAGGTCGATGGCATGGGCCCCACCATCAGTAAGGTGTATGCCCGTATAGACAGCGCAGTGGAGAAACTAAGGGAGAGCAATCACTTTGCCGAAACGGAGAAGGAGGAAATGGAGGAGATCATCATGCGACGCTGGAGCGCAATGACATCGCCGCTGCATTGTGCTGCACTGTTCTTGGATCCGGAGTACAGAGTGTCGCGGCCAGAAACGGATGCAGAGGTTGCAGATGGGTTTTGGACGTGGCTTTACTCGTGGTGCAAAGAGTCCTCGTTTGTTGAGGTCGACGCAAAGGTTTGTTCTTGGATCGAGGGCACTGGGCGCCACAATTGTGAAGATGCAAGGACTCAAGCCCGTCTGCTGCAGCCGGCGAGGTGGTGGAGGAAGTGGTGCAGTGACATGCCCATCCTCCAGAAGCAAGCCGTTCGTCTGCTTGGACAAGCGCCCTCCTCCTCTTGTTGCGAGAGGAACTGGAGCTTGTTAGAACGAATTCATAGTTGTCTCCGTAACAACCTCGGCGCCATCAAGCTCAGCACGCTAGTTTTCAACAGATGGAACCAGCTTTTGTTGGATGCCTTGATTAAGAAGCCGAAGGCTGTCAAGGATTCACCGCAATGGGAAGAGGATGAACCGGTGGAAGATCTCACACGGGCTGAGATGGCCGCGGATGCAAGAATGCGGTTGGCGGAGTGGCGTGCCCGACTGCACAGAACAGAGCCGGTTAGTGACGCAGGTGAGAACGATGACTCAGGCTCCGACGACGACGACAATCCCGTTGAAGTAACACAAACGCCTGTTCCAGAGGAGATCACAGTCCAACGTCATCGGCTGCGCAGCAATCTTCTTGAGCTCGAGAGACAGCTCAACGAGTTGTGGAGGAAGGCCACAAAGGCTTCCAAGTTTCTGGCCCGACAACATTTGCACGAGTTGGATCAGGCCACGAGAACCATGACCGTTGAGCATGCCAACAAATACAAAGCTGCGAGGGCAATTGCATGTGCACCGCCCTCGATCCCGGCCAAACGAGGGAGAGGGAGACCTCGGAAGGATGCTGCAACTCAAGGTGGGACAGGTGATGAGGAGGAGGCCCAGGACGAGGAAGGTGACAATTTGGCAGGAGGTCCTGCACCCGCAACTGTCTCAAGAAAGCGGGGACGACCGCGGAAGGAGCCCGTGCAAGAGGAGGAGGAAGCAGCGCCAGAACGGACAAGCAGCGATGAAAGTGGTGGCGGCGGTGATAAAAATGATGGCAGCAGCGATGGTCACGACGGGAGCGGTGGCTGCGATGGGACTGATGGCAGTGGCGAGAAGGACGAAGGCGAAGGAGACAAGAAAGGTGGTTGTTCGTCGGAGGAAGAGGGCGACTCCGAATCAGAACCCCTGGCTAAACTGCGCAAGACATCCCACTAACGCACGCGCGCGCGCGCTTGAGAGAGAGAGAGAGAGAGAGAGAGAGAGAGAGAGAGAGAGAGCACTGACAGTGCTGGCAGTGTGAAGACTCCTTAAGTTCAACCTTCTAAGTTATTTAAACTTTTTCAAACTTTTTTAAAGTTTTTTTATTTTTTTTCTTTGTTCTTTGAGTTCTGTCACTTGTGCCTGCTTTGCAGTGTTCGGAACTCTGCATGTTTGCTAGTTGAACATGGTTGTTGATTTGCAGCGAGACAGGCCCTCTGCTGCATGAACTTCCTTCAAAGCGCAAATCAGGTGAGTGCCTGCGAACACCGTCCCCACCCCCCACCCCCCACCCCCCCACCTGTATTTTTTAATTTTTTTTTCCCTCCCATCCGGACATCTGGGAGCCACTGGCGCAGGTCCGGACTGTCCGGTGTCCGGTTGTGTCCGGTGTCCGGTAGTGTCCGGAACACCGGACAGTCCGGACCGGTCCGGACAGAGGTCCGGGAGACAGTCCGGAAAGGTTCGGTGTCCGGGTCCGGGGTTACCATGCTCCATAACCTACAAGGGAGTACAAAGTACATTTCAGGCATCATACTGATCCCAAGGAAGATCGATGGATTTCAAGGGAGGAACTTATCAAGACAGTTCCTCAGATCGTGGCAGATTATGAAAAGAAACTGAAGGGGAAGGTACCAGCATGAAGTATCTCAGGGGACTTTCGAAGCTAAGGGGGATGGAATGCGAGGAACGAGCCCTCAAGGGGCCCTATCAGACATTACATGTTTTGGGCTAAGGCCCCCAGCAAGCCGAGTGCCCGGCCTAAGTGAAGGCGGGCCTGAATATTCGTCAAAGACCAAAAATTCGACATTTCCGTATGTGGGTATTCAGGCTCTCGCAGCACGCCGGTTGGTTGGATAGACGCGTGAGCCTCACTAAGCTGCGTTGTACAGTTGGCCCAGGCCTTGACAGTTGCGCCTGGGCACATACACACAAAGCAGGGCCGATACATTGGGAAGCAGGCCATCGGCCTTTGCAAAACCAGTACTGCCGACGCACCTGCCTGGGAGCCCTGCACAGATGCAGCAAACAACCCAAGTCCGGAGACTCAGGCCGTGTCCAACTGAAAAGGGCCCAGGCCCTCAACTGTAGTCTCGGGCCTGGGCGCAGGGTCTGAGGCCCAACCGGAAGCTACTGGAAGCTTCCAGCCAGGCCACACGCAGCATCCAGGAGGCTGCCACTTCCATAAAAGAAGTGAGGCAGCCCAGGCCAGGCATTCTGGCCAGTGCAGGCAATGCGGAAGTGCTGCTGCGCTATCGCTTGATGCTGCGCTGCTGCCAAGGGCGCTGACGGGGCGCGTAGCGGTGAAGTGGGGCGCTGCAGGGCAGCTGGGCGCAGGCGGCCATAGCCGGGCTGCTGGGCGCCAGGGGGTACAGCGGGTGATCTGGTGGTCTTCAGGGAAGGAGGCACAGTGTGCGGTAATCAAGGTCTGATTGAGGGTGACAAGATACGTACCTGGTGCATGAAGAGAGGTCGGCTATGGAGTTGACAGTCATGTACAGTGGTCTTCGAGAGTCGAAGTCAGCCTGTTGCGTGAACCAGCTGTAGGATAGTCGGGCAGAGTAGGTTGGGCGCTGGGTGCCAGACAGAGAGGAGCGACTTTGGATACTGTGTTGGTGTGGCCTATGGGCTTGAACATTGGCTCATTACTTCATTGTATTGCTCTATATGAATGGTTTCTCGGTGCATTTTGTACTCTCTGCTTGGATACGACTACCTGGACATCTGTGTGGTTTCGCAACATTGCCTTTCTGTATATCGTTCACACTCATATTCTTTGCACACCTCCAAATTCCTCGTTAATTTCAAGATAAAAATAAATGAGAACACACGAGTCCAAATGTACCCTTTTAAGTTTTAAGCCCTTTAGTCACTGTTTATACCCTCAACCCCCCCCCTGGATGACCCATCACCAAAACCGAAGTTAAGACCGGATTCTGACTGGTTAGGCCAAGCACAGTCCTGGCCTGAAGTCTGTTTTTTTTTTTTGGGATCCTTGCCTCTTTTTTGACCTGTCTGGTTTTMCCGGGCGACCCCGCCTCAGCCCAACTGGCCCGGGCGTGCCTGGCCAGGTGTGCCCGGCCGGGCGATGGCCCAACATAGCCCAAAAGCAAAAAGGAAAAGGACCTTCCCAAACACAGACTGAGAACACAGCTGATTTCCGAGTTTTTACCGCTGGAATGAATGCCTTGCTGAGATTCCCGTTTTCTGCTGAGTTTTGCAAGTCTGTTTGTGTGCATGCTTGCTGGTCTGCGTGCCTGTCTGAGTGCTTGACGACTTGAGTGTGTGTGTGACCCGCAAGGGTACTTGCTTGCTTGTGAAGGCCCGTACGGCTGGTACTTACCTGTGGCCATGACATTGAGGGTTGCAGCAGGGAAAAATACTGAAGTGGCGGGAATAGGCCCACAACACTTAGAGCAGCGGAAAAACACTCAAGTAGCAGGTAGGCCGGTACCACACCAAGTAGTGGTAGATGCGTCGGGTACTAGAGACCGAGCAGAAGAAGACAAAAGTTGGCATTTTTAGACGCCCAGTAGTTGTAGGCTAGGTCTAGGCAGGTACCAGTCCAAGGAGTCTGAGTCTAGGGCCTGTACGGGCAATATCAGAGTCTGCAATGATGTTTCCCTCCGAAAGGGAGGAGGTACCGGTTGCTTGGAGGCCGTGCGGCCTGGAAGTCACCGCCCAAAGGCAAGCAGGCCGCTATATCTCCAGGGGGAGCGAAGTGCTCCTCCTCATTTGCAGTGTGCAAGTTTGGAGTCACGCGGGGAGCGCTGGAGGAGCAGCGCTAGTGTGCAGCGCTGTGTTAGGAAGAGGAGTGCCCAGCTCCGCACCGTGGCTATGGTGGAGGAGCTCGGGCTGGAGGAGGGGGAAGAAGAGGACTGGAAAGGGGGAGCGCCAGGGGTACCTACCTGGCTATGGTGGATGCCGCGGGGTAGAGCTACATCACGAAGCTTCGAGGCAGAGTCAGGCTTGGCGGCCTGAGTAGGAGCATCCATAGCTGCTTTGTGTTGTCCTTTGCGCATCAGGGCAAGGCCCTAGTAGTCCGCCATAGCCTCGGCCTTTGTGAAGAGGAAGGAGAAGGGTGGCCATGGCTATGGTGAACCTCATGCTGTGCCTGCAGTAGAAGAGGGATTCGGACATTGATTCTGGTTCGGCCATTCAATATTATTATCGTAACAAAAGAGATGAAATAATAGTTCAAGTCTCAGGTCAGCCACGTCCATCTTGTCGAGAGTTGAGTGCCTACACATCCGTCCACATAAAGTACACTTGCACAAAAAGAAAGAAGTTGACGCTGTGAAACATGGCCAAACACGGGCCGTAGCAACACTTCAATTTGAAGGTGGTGTTAGACTGGTTTGGGCTTTAACCTTATCATGATTATCAATCTGTTTGACTGAAGCATCAGCATGAATCTCCATCTGCTTTGCACTCTGTCAGCTGCGACTGGTATCGAGATTTGGCATCAGCACAACAGAAAACTGCACCATAAGCAGAGTCCAAGCCTTCAAGGAGAAAATCCGTGACTACACCCGTCACTTAGTTGGACTCAAATCTCTCAGCGGTTGCAACCTCCCAGCCAGTTCGTAGCAAGTAAGACATTTGGCATCAGCACAACAGAGAACCACCGCGTAAGTGTCATCTCTCCGCACTGTTGTGCTGCGAGACAACACACACACGGCGGTTCTCTGTTGTGCGGTTGATACGACCCTTACATCAACAGAATGGTCCCTTCCCAGCCCAATCTCTCAGCACTTACAACTTCTGACCAACTATTTGGGATTTAATTCAATTACGCATGCTCTGGGATGGAATCCAGGTTGCAGAGAGCAAAGGATGCCTCCAATACTCCAGCAGAAGACTCAATGACCGTGCACACACGGCATAGAGACAGACCGTGGTGCATCAACCACACATCTCCAAAGGGAGAGCCTGAGAACGAAAGATGGTGCTGTACACACTAATATGGGGCAGGAAGGGGAGAGATCAGGCATGGACAAACAGTAAAATACCCTCTCGAGGTGAGAAATAGACCTGGACAAGTCCCCACCCCAGGTGAATCATCCACAGAGACGTGGGGAGGAGGAGGAGGGGGGGGAGGAGGAGGAGGAGGAGGAAAAGGAGGAGGAGGAGGAGGAGGAAAAGGAGGAGGAGGCAGGGGAGGAGGAGGAGAAGGATGGCAACAAGAAGTCCAATTCAGAATCCAAAAACGAAGACCACTCAAGAACACCCCTCTCAGCAATCCCTCAACATCATCTTCTCCTCTCAACCAATGCCAACAACTACGCCGCATAATACCTCTCTCTACCATCTCCAGATCGGCTGGTAGAAGACCTCAAACTACTCTGCCATGACCAGCCGAAGGTGGGGAGACCTGGACCCAGTGTCTGATGCCAGTCCAGAGCTGGCCACAGATTGCCAAGGGCAAACACAGGGCAGCTATGAGGCAGAACTGGGGATTGCGTACAATCAAAATCAAGCAGTTCTTTGATCTTTTCTATTTCGATATCAAGCATGCATACTTTCATGTTCATAAGAAACTATTGAAACAAGTAAAAGGAGTTCCTATGGGCAAGGGATCGAGCCCTCCGATAGCTCACATGGTGTGTGCCTTAGATCGACATTGCAATCGGACCAAAAATATGTGCATGGATGCACTTTGTGGATGATGCGCTGCTCATCGTTTGGACATCAATAGAAGATGAACAAAGTGCGATGAACATATTAATGCGAGCATTTGAATCCTGCTATCATGTCTCGCTGAAGTCAGAAAAAACTTCTGTAACCAAAGACACAATTTGGAAATATCTTGAAACAAATATTTTGAGAATTGAAGGAGTAAACTGCAATCAGACTCGCGATCTTCTTCACTTCGCATACATGTAAACAGATGGCCATTTCACACTGGCGCTGTGCGCCCACACAAAGCTCAGAGATAGTCAAGCCGAGAACACAATTCAGTTACAAACTCACTTCCAATTGGCTATGGCGACTGGGAGCCCACACATCCTGTTACATCTTCGACGCCACACGGGTCCTACCGGACCC